GTTCAAGGCATGATCTCAGGGATTCAAATGCTTCATTTTTACCTAATGGCATGACTCAAAACATTTCTCAAGATCAATTGATTGATAGATGAATTTCAGTCAACTGTACACTAAAAAGTCAAACTTTGACTTTTTGATCAAAATCAAGTTTCAAAGATTACAATTCATCAAGATATGTCAAAATATGAAAATTTTTCATCAAGAAATCAAAAAGTAAAGATTTCATTTTGAAAATTCAAAATTTCTAAACTTAGAATATTTTCAAAGTGTTGGAAATTCACATTTTTTTCACAACTTTGAGCCAAATTTACACCATGATGCAAGATGATTCAAAGGAAACTTCCAACACGAAAGTTGTAGATCTCAATGAGATCTAAAACATTGTAGGGCAGAACTTATTCTATAAATTCTTGGATTTAAATTTATGATTTTGTGAAGACATGTTCATGAAACTTGAAGACTTAGTGAAATTTTGCCTTAGTTTAGGCAGGATTTTGACCTAACTTCATGACAACTTTTCACATAGTTCCAAGATGAATATTAAAAAATATCCAACATAGAGTTTGTAGAGGATGTTACAAGCTTTCCAAAATGTCCAATAACTCATTAAGATCATACTTGAGCTAGGAGAATCGAAAGCAAGAAGTTAGGGTTTCAAACTTGAATTACAAGCCATTTCTTGATGAACACATAATCCAATCTCAATGTTAGGCTGCATAATCTTGCTTTGAAGATCTTCTAACTTGTTTATATATCCAAATTTAATGGATTACACAAACTTTTGAGCTATAATCCAAGTGGTTTAAGCATTGTCCAAGTCCATTTGCCATTTTGGGAAGAAAGATAACATTGTCATTCTTGAAAAGCAAGCTTTATGCACAAAGTCAATTCTTGAGCATCTCACTTGTTCCCTCTGATCATACTCCATCTACAAAGTCAGAAGCAAGTTTTTTTAAAGCATAACCACTCTACAATAGCAAGTACAAAGGCATTGAAACTTGATTTTTCAAGAAAAGCACATGTTGAGCTTAAACATTTGATTTTGAATTCTGATCAACTACAAGCCACAAAACCATTTGCTTATAAATAGAGGCACTATTTGTGAGCTAAGACACAAGCTTAAGCACCCTGAAACTCTCCCAAACTCCCTCAAATCAGAACTTGCATCAAAACTCCATTTATGTGCACATTCTGACTTTGAACTTGTAACTTACGATTCCCTCGTGCGTTTTCCTTCCTAATCACAAAGCTCATATACATCAAATATAGTCCATCTCTGTCCCTGTTTCATAACTGTAAATCCATTTCCATCATCCTCTATAATCAAAAACAGAGAACTGCAAGTTGACTTCTCCAGGCCATTTCAGCCATCCATTGCCCAAGCTAATCATTGCATTAACTTCCTGGGAACTTGAGGAAGCTAACATGATCATTGCAGCACCTTGAATCAAGCTCATTTGCATTTCACGATTTCTAGTTTTTAGGTATCTTTTCTGAACTTCTATCTTTTCATTTAGGCATTGCTAAGCTTGCATTTGTGAAGATATAATGTAGATATCATTACCCTGAAACTGTACATGTCCATAGATTTCATTTATATTGATTGAGCTTAGAGAATTTTAGGTTTGAATCTCTGAAAAAAGTTAGGTCAGAATTTGGTACTTTTAGAAATTCTCATTCATCTTTGATTTATAGCTTATGATATTTATATGGTTGGATTCGTATGGAAAAATGGAGCAACTTTCATGTTTGCATCTTTCATTTTTGTTGAGAAATGAGCAAGTTATAGGAACCATGGCTGGAGGTTGAAGATGAAGTCATTTTCAGGACTTGACTTATGTTATGTATTTGTTGTTTTGCTTATGTTAACAGATGTACAACAAACACAATGGCAAGGCAGCGCGCGTTTCATGTCTAGGGTGTGGGTTCAAGCCCCAGCCCTGCCACTTTTTGATTTTTTCAGCATTTTTTCCCTTTGTCAAAAACAGGCACAAATGGGCGTCAAATCAATGGGCTTTCCATTTTTGCTAACTTCTCACCCCTGCCTTCACTTTCACACACCTGGCCCAAGCATTTTTATTTTAATTTAATTCATTTTCTTTTTTTCTTATTTTATTTTATTTCAGTTTTCTTTATCATTTTTTTATTACTATTATTACTATTATTATTATTATTATTATTATTATTATTATTATTATTATTATTATTATTATTAATAAAAAAATCCAAAAATATTTTTATTTATTATTTTCACACTTTTTTTTTATTTTCTTTATAAAGACAAAACACAAAAAAATATTTTAATTTCTTTTTTCTTAATAAATTAATAATTAGATTTAGTTTTATTTTTTTCTTTATTTATTTAAAATTAATTTAGAACTTAAGTTTTTCTTAATTAATTAATTTTCATTTTTTTTAAAACTTTTCATAAAAAACCCTAAAAATGCTTCAAAGTTAATTTCTTTTCTTAATTAGTTTAGGTTTAATTTTATTGAATTTTAATTAATCATTTTCTTAATTAGGTCAAAACTAAACCCTTTCATTAAAACCAAACAAAAATCATTTCTTTTCCATTTATCTTTTTTATACATTATATTTTCAATTCTTGTACATTATTCAATATGGTTGTAATAGATAATTAAGTTTAATTTTCTTGCAATCCCCATTTGTAAATTTGTATACCCTATCCCCTAATGATGTAATAGCGCAATAATTTTACTTTCCGCAATTTATTGCTTTCATATAAATGTTAGTAATTAGGGTTTGTATGGAAAGAGAAAATCAACAATTAGTAAACCCTAATTCAAGATAAATAATGCATGTAAATCAAATACACTTGTACACATGCACCCTTAGGGTAGTTCCACTTGTTGCCTTACAAAAATGATCATGTTATGCATGTGGGATATCTTAGCAAAAGTAATCAAAAATACAAGATCATAGTCCCTCGATGACGCTACAAATGTTGCCTTTCAAAATGATCTTAGTCCCTCAAAGAGAAATGCTAAGATATCTCACAACATTGCTATCATGACTATACGATGACCCACGCCCGTCCCTTTACATCCAAAGATAAAGCTTCTTACCAATCAATGGTAAGATAGCAATATCAAAGGAAGGAAGAAATGAACAAAGACTTTTGAGTAGGTAGATTGTTCCTAGTTGCTTGCTATCCTTGCTCATTTTCAAAATAAACACCAAACACTTTCAAAAAACAAACTTTCAAAACATGAAATATTTTCAAAAGTTCAACACTTTGTATACGTTCTTACGAATGAGAACCATTACAAAGTTTGCCTAAACGATGGCGCCTTTTCAAAATACTTTCAAAAACTACCACAAAGTACATTTTGAAACAAAATCAAGTGATCTAGCAAGCAACTAAAAGCCCATAGATAACTATGGATTAAAAGGGTGCTAATATCTTCCCTTTTCATAATCTACCCCCCGAACTCAAGAAATAATCTCAAAGGTCTTTCCTATTCTTTTCCATATTTCCTTTTGGATAAAAGAAAATTCGGTGGCGACTCTTGCTAACCGCAAAATTTATGATCAAATGCAAAACAACCAAGTCAGTTCTTCCACCGTATCACACTTTGCTTACACACAATCTTAAAAATGTTTGACGTTACTTCTAAAATCACCTTTTAAATTCAAGTTGGGGGTTGTTAGAGATCTTGGTATGATGATTACTTGGAGTGGGGACTTGGAAGAAATTAATGGCATTAAGTAGACAATAAATGAGCACAAGTATGAAGTAGAGTGTGTTGGTCAATTTGAAAAGGTTCATTAAAGTCTCACATAGAAGGGAGAGCACACTTTAGTAGTGTTTATATATTCCAAGTTGACAAAGTGGGTTGGGTCCCAAGGGGTACCCAATTTTGTGGTTGAGTGAGAACACACTACCATAGAATATTACACACGTAGGTTCACCGCCGCCGCCATCCATCTAACCGATCGGCTCAATTCGGTTTGGTCCGGGCTTGAGTTTGGGTTTGGGCTTTGATCCAAAAATTTTATGGTCAGAAAATGGAGAAAAATATTTATTGATATTTATTATTATTAATTAATTTTCGTGCGTGGTGTATATTAATTAATTATGTATGTAAGAATTAATTAATTTTTAATTATTATTATTTATTAATTAATGACATCATCACTAACCTAAACCTAAATATTGACAGTATTTTTTGTCTTGCGTACCAAGTCCTAGGTCTCCTTGCTGACCAAGTTTGTAATGATTAGTAATGGGCCGAATCCGCTCCACTTCTCTCACATTTTTCTCTTCAATTGGGTCGTTTCATCATCTATAAAAGCGTCCCTTCCATCACCTGTTTTTCACTCCAAAATTCACATTCAAATTCTCTCTTCTCCCTCTCTACTTTGCTTCATCTAAAAAATTTCTTTTCTGTTTTCGACTGGATTCATTCCAAATATTATGATTGGTTATAATACCATATGAAGGTGTATCTCTTCGAACGATTCATTACAGTAAAAGTAATAATCATACTTTCTGAATGGGTTTTTTATCCTGGAGACGTCGTCGAAACTCGAATGCTTTGCATAATTATTGGCAGTACGACGAAACATCTTAAAGAAAATGACCTAGTACGTGACTCGTCCAGGTAATTTTCTTTGTGCCAATTTTTCCAAAATCAGAAACAATAATATGTTTCTTATTTGATCACAGCAGAGGATTAGCTCTATTAAATTCCACAACATGATCCAAAGCAACCTTAGCCACTTCTTGAGGGGCAACATAACTGGTAGTGAACACATGATCATCCATATTCTTTAAACCTTTCCACAGAATAGTACATAGCAATTAGACACAAAAGCATCATCCATATCAACACCAGTTTCCAGCCACTTGAAGGGATCATGGTTAGGATGAATTTGAAAACTCAAGGGGGAGATAACCACACCCTCTTTGCATAAGAGCAGTCCAGAAATAAGTGTTGAATGGTTTTCGGTGTTCATGATAAAAGGGGAAAGAGGAATTAAGTCTCATACTTTTTCTCCAGGTTTGACTTCGTGAGTAAGATGTTCTTGCCAGGAAACCTCCTATTTATGTGTACAAACGGGTCTGTCGAAGTATGAGTAGTGACATATGTCTCAACAGGTGTAGTAACTTCCACATCATCAGTAGGTGGCACCTCAACATCCGTATGTGAAGTATGTGCATCAATAATTGTCTCGAGAGTAATCTCTATAGTAGTTGTTGCCTCTACATCAGAAGGATAAGGCACATCTACCAGATGGAGAAAATCTGCCTCTACCACCATATGCACGTCATCTTGAACCGGTGTAGATGGTGCCTGAACATCAACTGGCTCATCCTCATCATCTCTCGTCCATCTAGAAGCATATTAAGATCATCTACGTCAGATAGTGTGGGGTGCAAGAAACTAAGCCTAATCATCCAGTCGCCTCTCGTGTGAACCAATCGATGCCACTCTCCATGCCCTGAGATGGGAGTCCTATACATCACCTCTCATTTCTCAAGCCCTCACAGCAACTCGATCACCTTTTCGACCAACAATCGTACCATATGTGCCTCTGGTTTTCAATGAGAAATAAGCTACTAGATTTTTCAAAAAATCTGAAAAAACTTATGAACTGCTCGAATTTTCTAAATATGCGTTAACGAAGCAAACTTCTTCTAGATTTGTAATATACGAAAAATGCATAAATATTTATGGATAATTCAAAATATCCAGAAGCATTTATGCATTTTTTTTGCATTTTTCAAAAAATTCGTAAGTTATTTATTTTTATCGAATCTTTTAAAATATCTGATTAAACGTATAATTTTTTTTGTCAGACATTTTTAAAATATTCAGAAAACTATGCATGTTTACTGGATCTTTTGAAATATTCGGTAAAAATTCAAGGAAAATCCAGAAAAAAAAACTTTAAAATACGGTAAAAAAAAATTAGAGTTAAATACCTTATACCCCATACCATATGAACGTGTTTCGATTTATCCCCCCTTAAAAAAAATTTGTGAACTGGTTCAAAGATTCTCCCATTTTACTAGTGTGGTGGTCCACGTGACATTTTTTGTTTTTGAATTATTTTTTAAATTCACCTGTCATTTTTTAAATTATAATTTTTTTATTTAATTTTTTAAAAATAATATATTTTTTATATTAATTTTTTTCCGGTTTATAAATCATTTTTATTAATAATTTTTATAAATTATTTTTTTAAATTATTAAAATATAACATTTGGGTTTAAGTTCATTTTTTTTCCATAGCAGCCCAATTACTAAAACAATTATCAATTCATTGGACAAGTTGTGGAATTGGTATATAAACACTAATATATTGTTCAATGTGGGACTTCTCCTAAAGCACAAACTGCTGGCCACAAGCTGAATAACAACAACACTAACATCACTTCAATACTCTACCATTCTTCTTCATTACACAACAACACAGCCATTCTTCTTCACTACACAACAACAACACCATTATCAATACACAAAATCATTATGTCAGTTACAAACTTATAACACCAAATCATTATGGTTTCATACCTGCATTATTGATTATCACATCAATGTTTTCCTCTTCATTGCCACGTTCATAATATGCATGAAATCTTACCTTATTGACCACTCTGTTATACGCAAGTTACTACCATAATACCATCACTAAGAGCCAATGTATACAAATTAAAGAGAAAGTATATAGATTCAGTTCTGGTCGAAAACTGCATGGTATTCTTTAATGTTTATATACAAATATACTTTTTAGAGCAGCCTGTCCTTAGTTAGTTTCCTCTATGTGTGGTGATGCCTTACTTTCACAACCATGACTTTCACATGTATTACACAATAATAAGCCTTTGTTATTTCAAGATCACTATAGTCGAATTGCGCTGCTGACTTTATGTCTCTATCTAAGTGGGAATTTATGTTGAATAAACTTTAATGTGTTAGTAATAAGTTTTCCATTTCTTATATGGTAGTAGGAAGGACAAAAGTTTGATAAGTTATGATAGTTTATTAGTAGCAGTTATGTTTTTAGAATTGTAAAAGCCATTGGGTCTATATAAAGATCAAGAGTGTATTTTATTTTAACAAGAGTAATATAGAAGTATTCATATAGAAGTCTGATTATTTTATAACAATTTGGCATCAGAGCTCATGGAAAACATGATGAATCAAATGTCGTTGCCACGGCTAACGAAGTCAAATTATGAAAACTGGAATATCCAAATGAAAGCTCTTCTTGGATCTCTAGATGCGTGGGATGTGACTCATGATGGGTTTGTAGAACCAACAGAAGTTGGGGGATATACGACAGCTCAAACGAAGGCGTTGAAAGAGACGCGATCGAAGGACAAAACGACATTATACATGTTGTTCAGGGCTGTAGATGAATCAGGCTTCGAAAAAATTGCTGGTTCGACTACGTCGAAACAAGCGTGGGACACGTTAGAAAAAGTGTTCAAAGGAGCAGATCGAGTGAAGCAAGTTCGACTCCAAACTATTTGTGGAGAATTGGAGAGAATACAGATGAAGGATACAAAAATTGTATCTGACTACATCACACGTGTGCAAAAGGTGGTGAATCAACTCACCAGAAATGGAGAGACGGTACCTGATGCACGAGTTGTTGAAAAGATCTTGAGATCTTTAACAGACAAGTTTGAGAATATTGTGTGTGCAATAGAAGAGTCGAAGGACCTTTCGACGCTCTCAGTCGAAGAGCTCGCTGGTTCTCTCGAAGCACATGAACAACGAAAGATGAAAAAGAAAGAAGAAGCAGTCAAAGAAGCAAACCAAACCAAGGAATCGAACAAAGACGAAAAGGTACTTTTTTCGAACAACTTTCGAAGAAGAGGACGTGGACGTGGAGGTCGTGACAGTGGTCGAAGTGGTAAAGGTAGAAACTTCGAAAGGGGACAATCGAGCCAACAAAATTGGCGTGGCAGAGGACGTGGTCAAAGAGGTGTTCGTTCGAATCATTCCAACTTCGAATGCTACAAGTGTGGGAAGTATGGTCATTATGCGAAGGATTGCAACTCCTACAAATGTTACAACTGTGACAAAGTGGGACATCTTGCAAAAGACTGTCGAATCGAAAAGAAGATTGAAGAAACAACCAACCTAGCCTTGGAAGCTGAATCGAATGAAGGCTTTCTCCTGATGGCTCAAAATGAAATCAACACCAATAATGACAATGTTTGGTATCTTGACTCGGGAGCAAGTAATCACATGTGTGGTTACAAACACCTGTTTAAAGATATGAAGAGAATTGAAGATGGTAATGTGTCCTTTGGAGATGCATCGAAAGTGAAGGTCGAGGGAAAGGGCACAATCAGTTACTTGCAGAAGGATGGCTTGATTGGATCAATCGAAGACGTTTACTATGTACCAGATCTCAAGACCAACATATTAAGTCTGGGACAACTTACAGAAAAAGGTGTTTCGATACTTATGAAAGATCGAACATTGCATTTGAAGGACAAAGTAGGACATCTGATTCCCAGTGTCGAAATGGAAAGAAATCGAATGTACAAACTGAACCTGAGGAACATTCGAGAGAAATGTCTGCAAATCGAAGTACAAGACAAAACGTCACTGTGGCATATGCGCTTTGGTCATCTACATCATGCTGGTTTGAAAAGGTTGGAGAAAAGGAACATGGTGCATGGACTACCAGGCATGGATTTCGAAGGAAAATTCTGTGAAGAATGTGTGCTCAGCAAATAAACAAGAATCTCATTTCAAAGGAAGGCAGAGCATCAAGCTAAACATATTCTCGAATTGATACATACTGACATATGTGGGCCAATCACTCCATAATCCTTCAGTGGAAAAAGGTACTTCATTTCTTTTATTGATGACTTCTCAAGAAAAACCTGGGTTTACTTCCTGAAAGAAAAATCTGAAGCATTAGAAGTGTTCAAAAAGTTCAAAGTAATGGTGGAGAAGGCAACATACAGACACATCAAAGCAATTCGATCTGACAGAGGAGGTGAGTATACTTCAATGGCCTTTGTAAAGTACTGTGAAGAACAGGGCATAAGGAGATTCCTAACTGCACCATATTCACCTCAACAAAATGGTGTGGCTGAAAGGAAGAATCGAACTATTCTTGACATGACTTGATCAATGCTCAAAAGCAAGAACATGTCGAAAGAATTCTGGGCAGAAGCAGTACAATGTGTTGTTTATATTCAGAATAGATGTCCACATTCAAAGTTAGAAGACAAAACACCACAAGAAGCATGGAGTGGACAGAAGCCAACAATTTCTCATCTCAAGGTATTTGGTAGTATAGCTTATGCACATGTACCAGATCAACAAAGAATAAAGCTTGAAGACAAAAGTCAGAAGTACATATTCATTGGATATGATGAGAAGACGAAAGGGTACAAGCTCTTCAATCCCATAAGCAAGAAAGTGATCGTGAGTAGAGACGTTCGAATGGACGAAGAAAGCAAGTGGGACTGGAACAACTCGACAGAGGTTGTTGACACAGTCGAAGAAACAACTGTAGCTGTACCAACTAGTATTCCAACAGAACATGAAGAAACTGAAGATGAAGATGAACATCTACAACCAAAAATGAGAAGTTTGTAAGATTTGTATGATTCAACAAGTGAGGTGCATCTTGTGTGTCTTTTGGAAGATGCTGAAAATATCAGTGTCGAAGAAGCGTTACGAGATAAGAAGTGGAAAAGTGCCATGGACGAAGAAATTAGAGCAATCGAACGCAACAATACTTGGGAGCTAGTCGAATTGCCAAAAGGTAGTCAACCCATTAGTGTAAAGTGGGTATTCAAGAAAAAGATGAATGCTCAAGGAGAAATCGAAAGATTCAAAGCACGACTGGTTGCGAAGGGATACAAACAAAAAGCAGGAATTGACTATGACGAAGTGTTTGCGCCTGTTGCAAGAATGGAGACAATTCGATTACTCATTTCTCAAGCTGCTCAATTTAAATGGCCAATATTTCAAATGGATGTCAAGACAGCATTTTTGAATGGTGTGATCGAAGAAGAAATCTATGTCGAACAACCACTTGGATATATGAGAATTGGAGAAGAGAATAAGGTGTTGAAACTGAAGAAATCGATGTATGGGCTGAAGCAAACACCTAGGGCATGGAACACACGTATTGACACATATTTCAAGGAGAATGGGTTCGAGCAATGTCCTTATGAACCCGCCCTCTATGTGAAGAAAAATGGAAGTAATTTATTACTTGTTGCTCTCTATGTTGATGATCTTATCTTTCTAGGCAGTGATGTTCAGATGATCGAAGATTTCAAGAGCACCATGACAAGCGAATTTGAAATGACAGACTTAGGTCTGATGAGATTCTTTCTTGGTCTGGAGGTTAGACAAGAAGAAGCTGGAATCTTTATCTCACAAGAAAAATATGCAAAAGAAATCCTAGAAAAATATAAAATGAAGAATTGCAATCTAACTTCGACGCCAATGGAACCAGGTACAAAACTGTCAAAGTTTGATGGAGGAGAACGGGTCGAAGGAAGTAAATGTCGAAGCTTGGTAGGTAGCCTTCGATATCTCACATGCACAAGGCCAGACATTTCACTAAGTGTTGGCATAGTGAGTCGATTCATGGAGGAGCCAGTACACACACATTGGAAGGCGCTGAAACGAATTCTAAGATACATTCAAGGAACAGTATCACTAGGAATGTTTTATTCAAAAACAGAAGACTATAAGTTAGTTGGTTATTCTGACAGTGACTGGTGCGGAGACATAAACGATGGAAAGAGCACCTCTGGATATGTGTTTTTCATGAGAAACACGACATTTACTTGGTTGTCGAAGAAGCAACCTATAGTAACACTTTCGACGTGTGAAGCTGAATATGTGGCAGCATCCTGGTGCGTCTGTCATGCAGTATGGCTCAGAAGGTTGATAAGCAAGATGGAGCTAAAACAGGAAGGTCCAACAATAATACAAGTGGACAATAAA